GGTGCCGGTGCCGGTGCCGAGCGGCGGGGGCGGCTCCCGCGTCGCGGCCCGTCCACCGGGGCCGCCTCCCCCCTCGGAGCCGCTCGGGCGCTAGCTCCAGCTCCCCGCCGGAAGTTACGCGGCCGCCGCCGAGCCCTCCCACGGAAGTCTAAGGGTTGTGCTCTTCCGCTCGGCGAAATAGTCCCGCCGCCGCCGCCGCGCAGCAGGCGGCCCTGCCCAGCCCCGCCGAGACGCCTCCCCGGGGGGCTGCGCCGCCCCGCCTGCGCCGCGCCGCGGCCCCCATGGCGGTGCGGGGAAAGCAAGGGCGGCGAACGGGGGCGGCTCCCGTCGCCTTCCGGCGCGGAGGAATGTGCGGCCAGATCGGCTCATTCACTTCCGGTGCCGAAGGGCCGTTCCCCCCCCCACCATTGTCTGCGCTGCACGTCACGGGCCGCGCCGCCAGCCCCGCCCCCCAGGCCGGCCCCGCCCCTCCCTCGCCGTTGGCCGCCGGCCGTTGGGCCCCGCCCCAGGGCGCCATGATGGCGGGGCCGGCGCCCACGGGGGAGGGCGGTGATAAATAATAACAATAATAATAAAGAGGGGCCGGGTCGTCTCGGGGCTTCCCCTCYGGGGGCCTGCGCCTCGTTTCGGTGCTCGTTCGATTTGTTCTGCTCCGTTGCGGGTCTCTGATCCTCACACCGCAGAAAGCAAATGTCCGGTGCCTCGTGCCAGGGCCCCAAGAGGCAGCTGCACTGCTCCGCCGTGCTCTAGCCAGTCCCAAATTTAATCCCCGCTCCCTTTAATAATGCCTGCTAYCTGGTGTTGACTGTTCCAGGCACTTTTGTTAAGGTTTCAGGCGTCTAGTGGGCAATAAATTACATTGTCTGAAGGTTTCCCCCTAAAGTGTAGCTGTTGGGCACTCACCACTCTTAAAAAAATACATATTTTCAAAGTCAAGTACTTGCAAGTTGGAGCTTGCTTGCACGGCACCCAATCGACCTATTATAGCAATCTTTACCAAAATAAATGAAAGTAACTTTTTAACCCCACTCCTGGCATGATTTAGTGTTCACTAAATACTGAAGCATTGAATGCTTCAATTTATTGTCTTTACTACATAATCCCGGAGTCCCAGCCTTGCTTTGATGCATCTTTTAAGTCTCAGAGAATAGTGACTTCTTAAAATAAGGCCTATAGCATCCGCTTCACAAAGTCTAAAACACCTATTGACACCACTTCCCTATTGCTTGTGGTTTTTTTTTTTTATATATGAGAAGCAAATGCTTTTGGGACATTTAATTTTGGAAAAAATTACAGGCAACAGCAAACTCATTACACCAAGTATCGAGCAGGTTTACTGACAGTCGCTGAGTTGTTGCACTGTTAAATTTTTGCCGGGATTCTCGATGAGGATGCACAAGATTTTATGAGTGGAAAAGCATGCGGAGTCCTTCCTTAACCAGGTATGCAGAAATTATCCTTTATTTCTACTTTTTGCTGGCAATTTTTTTGTAGCCTGTCTCTTCTGAAGAGCTATAGCAGACACTTCTGCCAAAATTTACGTATTTAGAGAAATCCCCGTCATTTGGTGATACAGATTGATACTTGTCAACAGCTGAGTAGCCCACATATCCAGTTAGATAAGCAGTAACTTAATCAGGAAATACTAAGAGGGGGAAAAAAACATGCTGTGAAGAACTTAATCCATGCAAAACTTCAGTTTTGAGAGCCAGCCTCTTGTTCATTTCCTTGGAGACTGTTGAAGGTTGTTTTGCTTTAGGATGTTTGGCCTAGTGGACAGTTCTTCTCCTGACAGACTGAAGAGCTAAAAATCCCCCATAACCTGGAAGGGAGCGTTGCTTTTAATTTCAGAACATCCTTTTTGCACCAGAATTTAATGCTGCTTTCACTTACCAGCTCCCAATTGGGTGTCATTACCCGCTGAGCTGAGTTGCGTGCCCCATGCTAATCTTTCTCGGCCAGCTGGAGCTATTTATTCCTTCCCTGCCAAGGGGAAGCTTCAGCGCCTTACACAATAATCTCTGGCTGCTTCATGAGAACTGGAGAAAAAAAAAAAAAAAAAAAAAAAAAAAAAAAAGGACCGCATAACCCAGGGTAATCACAGCTATTCTTCTGGCCTTCCCTTTCCCTTTTCTGTGTTTATTGCGAAGATTGACTTGAGAAAGAACTTTGGAGATTTGTAACTAAGCCAGGTTTTTTAGGGGGGGAAAAAAAGAAAGAAAAATACAATCCAGGTAACCTAAAAACTGCACAGGGAGACTGAGCCGCAKGTCGAACGCGGCGGCCATGGCAGCTGCAGGAACTGCCCGTGGCCGCCATGAAGAGGCGCTTTAAAGGACACGCCGGGCTAGGTGGCGGGAGCCGCGCATGCGCAGTTCCTCCCCCCGCAAACTACAACTCCCAGGCACGCCGGCGAGAACGAGTGTTGTCCGTGTCGCCAGCGCTGATTGGTAAAGCTGGTGGGGAGGCATAGGAGGCCGCCTGTGATTGGGCGGGACGGGCGGTAGGTTGCTCCCGCAGTTCAAGTTGCGGGCGGTTGGCTGCGCCGCTTGGGTGACCGTTGCGGCCGTTRCTGCTGAGGGCGCTCTGTTTGCCTGGCCACCATGAGCGCTACAGCCCGTTCTCCACGGGCCTCGCCGCCCTCCAGAAGGTATCATGGGGACTGTGTCCCCCTCCACTTCTAAGCTGCTTTCAGCGGGCCGGGTCCCGATGCTGGGCCCTACGTAGTTGAGCTCTTACTGTCTGCTGAGCTCGGTTTTATCCTCTTGGCTCTGTTTTGTGCTTGTAGGTTTTGTTTTTTAACCTATCCTTTCAATTTCTACTCTTCTTTGCCTCAGTCATAAAACAGTTGCCTTGTGCTTGCATAACTTTCCTCTGTTGCTGCTGTTTATTTTTGCAAGTGTATTGTTTAAGGTAGCTTGGGGGCACAGCTGCTGGGGAAGCTGCTACATGAAACAGTATCATCATTATTCTGTATCTGCATGTATAATACTTTCCTGCCATGGAAAGTGGAGGGCATAAGGTTTTCAGGATGTAGTGTCTTGGGGTTCCCATCCACGCACCTTGGATGAGCAGTCTCCAAAAACAAGCTCTGCTGCTGTGTCACCTGCCAGGTTGCTCTGTGATGAACCTGCTGGTGCTGGGACTTGGGTTGTGGCCTGTGTGTTTGTTTAGTAAAGATCTGCCTAGCTACCTTTAGAAGGCTTCTCTGTGTTGGTTACTGGTAGTATTGTAAAAAAGTGTTTGTCTAGTCAACATAAGCAATTCAATGCTTTTCCAAAGCAAATCTTGGCTTTTGTGTGCAGTGGCACTTGCAAACTTGGTGTTTGTTTCTATAAATAAAAGAATACTTGAATGCCATAATCACTGTCTCTAACAAATGTCAAATAGGTAATTGCACATACACATTTTCAACTTGGCCTATATTCTTCTGGATAATATCATAGCATCAAATTCCTAGGCTTTCCGAAGATTTCTGTTTGTCCCTCACCATCGATCATGCTGTGCACATAGTTTAGCCACCGTGTATGGTGGAAAGAGAAGCATGTAAATACCCGGACATAAACTATTTAAAAAGCTATGATGACTGTTCCATTAGTAATGTGATGTTATCTTGACAATCTACAGTTATTCTTTATAAAACTCATTTCAGTTGTGCCCACCAGTAGGTCAAGAGGCAAAAGCCACAAACTGAAACACAGGAAATTCTGTCTGAATACGAAGAGGAAAAAAAAAAAAATTGTTATGAGGATAATTGCCCTGGAACAGGCTGCCCAAAGAGGCTGGGAAGTTTCCATCCCTGGATGTTCTGTCCAGATGTTCTGGAGAGAAAAGCTGTCTAGAAACAGTCCTCTGCAGCATATGCTATGTGGTTCTGCTTGAGTAGCTCTCAGAGATCCCTTCTAACTGCAAACATTCTGTGATTAAAGCATATTCATCTTTTCAGGGTTTAATTTGGTATAAGACAGGCAATGACTATTAGAGTTTGGTGGCTGTTTTTGTTGTTGTAATGTCTGCTTCTTCCAGTTGCCAGGACTCTTAATTATCCTTTCTCTAGCCATCTTTTCTTTCATTTCTGCTTCTTCCTTTCAAGTTCATCCTCTCCAAATAATCCAAGAGACTTTTTTTTTTCCTATAAGTTTTTCTTTCCTGCTTTTCCAGCAGTAGGCCATTTCTGCATAGCATAGTAAATCTGCACACTTATCTATTTGAAAGCTTTTAAATCTCATAAATGCCGTGACTTCTTTGGAATGCAGATATACTAGCCTGCCTTTAAATTTTGCAGTAAATTGGTATCTGTGTTGTCATATTTCTGACTATTTTAACAGTTATTGCCTCTTACTGTCTGTAGTTTATATGTTGTTAGAAAATGTGTCTGTCCAGGCTAGCAATTTCTCACATCTCTTCCAGACCTACTAGGTCTCCACCTCCAGATCAGGAAGACCTCACTCCCCTTCCCTCCATCAATGAGCGCCTTGCTTTGCTCCGCCCGTCCCGGGAGCTCTTGGAATACTATCRCAAGAAGATTGCTGAATTTGATGAAGAGCATGAAGATTTAGTTAAAAGGCTGGAGAGATACAAAGAAACTTATGATGAGCAGGTAAGAAGTGGTGATAGCTTAAGCAAGTGTATGTAGCCTTTATTATTTAGTAAAGAAATAAATCTGTTAAATTAACACAGATGATACTGAGATTTCTAATAGCATGATAGAAGTAAGTTAAGAAGAAGTAGCTAAGTTTTGGGCTTTATTTATGATTTCTAGTTGTCTTTGTCCTCTGTCATAAAGCAAACGGAAAAACCTATCCAGCAAATAAATGAAAGGTACAGTTCAAAAAACCTAAAAGCCTTTGTTTTTTAAGAGGAAAAGTCCTGAGGCCAGTTTGTGTGTGCCAGCGTGTGCCTGCCTGTGTGCTGGGGCTGTGCATGAGCTGTGGTGCATGTGTGTGTGTGTGTGTGTGTGTGCATGCAGGTGTCTGGGAACATGAGTGCACACACACACACACACACGTGAGCACATGCATGGCTGCCTGTGCATGTTTCTAGGGGTGCACATGTGTGCAGGTGCCTGCCTGTGTTTGTACATATTGTATATATCCATGTGCGTGCTCAAGTACTTTCCTGAAGGCTTCCAAATGTTTTCCCTGAAACCCTTTTAATAATTTACCAATATTGTCTTTTTTTTCTGTACAATAATACTCTTGAGCTGCAATAGTTATAAACTGCTTATAGTGGCTCGCTCTTCCTTGGTGCACACAGTGTGTTTGCTGGTGTTGCCTGAATCTTTGTGTCACTTCTGTTGCTCCCTTCTCTTTGCATAGCACAAGCTGCAGTGGGAAGTACGTCAGCGAGAAGAAGAGATAGTGGAGTTGCARAAGGCTTTGAGCGACATGCAAGTCTACCTCTTCCAGGAGAGGGAGCAAGTCCTCCGCCTTTACTCGGAGAACGACCGCCTGAAAATCAGGTGCGCTGTCTAGGTGGGGGCTGTGGAACTGGCTCTAGYAGAGTTGCATGTGCTCTTTCCAGATCCCTGGAGAACTTGGGAATCTCCAGAAAAGCAGTTATGCTGCACTTCACACAGTTGGCTCTTATAAAATCATATCTGTCTTTGAACTGAAATACAATCTGTTGGGCTGCCAGATATGTTTCTGCTTATTATTCCTCCTATTCCAGTAGCAGAAAAGAGCAGAAGCTGATCATAGATCCCGACTTCAATTCCAAGTTGCTGGCTTTGATGTGAAGGTTTTGACTTAATCAGAGCTTCCACCTGCATTGTGAAATTCCCTCYCTTGGCTATAGAACCCCTAAAACAAAAAACACATCAAAGCAAATGATCTCCCCTGACCCCATAGTGTCATGTTGGCAGCCGCTCCTTTTTTCATGCCTTTTTGCTACTGGAGTGTGTCTTGCTGTGACAACTACCCCTGGACAGGACTTCCCAACTGGCTCTGGAGCACTAGTAGGTGCTAATCCCAGGTCCTGTGCTAGGGTTTRAAAAGCTTGTTTCGGTGTTTGTTAGTGTGCTTTGATGTTTCTCAAGAGGGTGACTAAAATTAGACACAGTGACACAGTCCTCATCTCGCTTTCTTTGAAAACAATGGACACTTGGCTTTGGAACAAAATATCTGCAAGGATTTTAGTTCGTATTTTTGCTGACATACTTTACTAGTGTCTTCTATTACTGTATTGACTGAAATGTCGTCCTTGAAAATAAGGAAATGCCAGCATAATGGCTATTGGTCTCGTCATATAGGCCATGTCAATAGTGTGTCTTAGGGGTTGCTTTTTTTTTTTTTTTTTTCTTTTAGCAGTGTATTCACAAACTAACAGTAGGGAAAATTTCAAGGATTTTAATGAGTAAACGAGTAAGATAGTAGTGTTCTGATGCCTTTCTCTGAATTCCAGGGAATTAGAAGATAGAAAAAAAATTCAACATCTTTTGGCTCTAGTGGGTTCAGACAGAGGAGAAGTTACATACTTTCACAAGGAACCTCCACATAAGGTAAGATCACAGGGAAGGTTTTTAGAGCTGTTCATGATATTTTGTCCTAGGAATATCCATATTCTGGAGACTGACCACAGGCTATAACAGGCCCACAATTAAAAAAAAAAAAATAAAAAATAAAAAAACCACTGTGTGCAAAGCAGGAGGTATCTGTAGCGCTATTAGTATAGTTACTGACAAAAGCAACGACAACTGGAGATCAGTGCTGTTAGCATCCAGCCCCTCACGCCTCCAGAGCAGACAGAACAGACCAACAAATTGCACCTTTAAATGTAAGGCAGGAGCTTAAGGCCATGTGGCAAGTGGCCGTTGAAAAGCTGAAGAGAAGGAAAGGGGAGCTGGAGGAAATCRGGAAAGACTGTTTGAAGATCAGCCAGGTACCACTGGAAACCTACAGCTAGACTCCCAGCAAAGAGTAAAGCAATGCTGAGATCGGTACTGAGATTTCCTGAGAAGGTGTCTACAGAAGAGTCATTCCCTCTAGGCAGTTGTGTGTTGTCTCAGCAATGGTGTCAAACTGTTTAAGTGGTAGTATATGAAGAGCACTGTAATTGGACCTGTATGTCAAGGGAAGTAATGACTTGATTTGGGCATATTGGAGTATGGTGAAATGTGAGTTTTTTCATGGAATAAAGCATGGAACAAAAATGTCAAGATCCAGCTGTTGCAAAGGAAAAGGGTGTTTTTTGTTCCCCCCCCCCTTCTCCTCTCTCTCAATACTGTTAGTTTTGTAAATGTCTTCCTTGTGTTGTTCTCCTGCAGTTTCCACTTTTAGTGGAAAATAGTCCACTTTTAGTGGACTATTGCAGCTTTGGAGAACTGTAAATATTCAGCTGAGTTCTAATCTGTTTGTATAGGTCACTGTTCTGCAAAGACCAGCTAAATCCAGGGATCCTCATGAACGAAATGATATTTCTACAACAGGTACCAAACCAAACTGATTTAACAGCAGCACAGCTATTAATACTTTCTTTTCGGGTGTTTGTGTTCTGTATCCCAAACATTTTTTTTCTGTGAAAGCCTGCAGTTTCTTTATTAAGCTGCTTAAATACAGCCAGGTACACATCCATATGTGTACGGTGCACCTCACTTCTTTCAAAGCCTCTGGCAATAATATGAGCTGGTTTTTTATCTGCTCGGCTAATGAGCAGGGGACCTTGGTGTACAGGTACCAAACTGCACAGTCATCCTAACCTGAATCCTTTCAAGAGGGGGTATTCTACTTTGAGTGTAGACAGTTAAGAATCTCTGCGCTTGCTTACTGGTTTTGTTGTGACAGCTATAATACCTTTAACTGTTTAAAGTTTATTTTCCACATATGCCAAGAAAAATAGGAAAATGTCTGGGTATTGCAGCTTGGTGACATGAGGTCATCATGGTTGCRTGGTAATCATCACCATAACTTTTTTTCATCCGATTTCAAAACTTATTCCTCAGGTCCTAGTGACTGTAGCAGTTGCAGGACTTTTCATTTGYTTATATGCCAGCAGTGCAGTATTTTCTGCTGAGAAAAGTACTCAGCAGATCAGAGAACACTCATCCATTTCTAATGCAGATTTTTGCAGTAGGCACCAAGAGGAGCACTTCAAAATCAGCAGCAAGTGTGGAGAAACTAGAAAGTCCTGAGAGATATAAGACAGACAATCAAACACTCTTACTCCAGGTAAAAACATTTGCTAATTAAAAGGGCATAATTCCTGTCTGTCCAGCAGTTATGTTAAATATGCCATCTGTTTAAAATCAATATGTCTGCATTTTGCTTATCAACCCCCATGTTTTGCTGTGGTTTTCCACTTTTTCTGTTTATTTAGTTGTTTCTTTGCAGTGAGCTTAGATTAAAGAACCTAAGCCTGATTCTGGAAGCTTTCTATAAGCAGATGTACCCATAAAATCAACTAGAATGTGGTGTCTTTAAATGTAAGCTTTGAAAACTGTCATTGATGTGTCTCTCGCCTTGCATGAGACTCACGGAAAAGCTGATGGATTAGATATTTTGTGGAAGTCTCTCAGAAGCAAAGTAGCTGATATGGAATTGTGCTGCCCCTGCCATGATATGATATGCTATAATAGTACAGTGAACTGTTCTTCGCTAGGTCTCTGTAAAAGTCTGTTCTACAGAATTCAGCACATCTTACAWACAATTTAAATCTTTCAAATCTTGAATCTCTTGATCTTATTTATAGATAACCTTGTCTATAGCTTGATTTTTTTTCCTTTCTAAAAGTTATTCAAAGTATTTAACATTAAAATTGGAAACTAAAACTCTCCTAAAGCTTYATAGGGCAAAGAATCTAACTTGAATCCTGGATTTTAGGAGAGTCTTAAAATGAATTATGTAGGAGCTTATTCTGCAGCTTCTTTGCACACCTATCCAGGTGGAGGCTCTGCAGGCTCAAATGGAAGAACAGACACGATTATCCAAGGAACAACTTGAGGCGCTCCTAGAGGACAGGCGGATTCATATKGAAGAAGCCAAGGTCCAGCATCAGAGGGACCAGGATAAGATCAAAAATATAACAGATAAGTGAGTACAAGAAAATGACTTAGATTTAATCATGGGATGGAGGAAAAGGGAAACAATCTGAAAATCAGTCTTTGGTTTTCATTATATTGTTTGCTGCAGTAGGCAGAAAAGCAAATTATGCAGCCAGCTGCTTGGTATATGGCGGGAGATGGATGGAGTCATCTTCATATTAATCCTGTTGCACCTYGGAAGAATAGCACTCCTGACATCAGATGAGGAAAATCTAAATATAGTAGGAAGCACCTATCATTTTCTCTGCTTCTTCCAACTTTCAATGCAAACAGAGGAAAATAAAGTAGCAGCTAGGAAAAGTAAATTGACTTAACGGGGATCTCTTTACAGGCTTCATAAGACGCAGAATCTCTTGTATGAGAGTACCCGAGACTTCCTCCAGCTGAAGTTTGATACTCGAGCTAACGAGAAAGCATGGATGGCAGAGAAGGACATTCTGCTGAGGAAACTTGACAAAGGCCTGGATCGGCCTGTCAGCAAAAAGGCTGAGAGAGAGAAGAAGCAAAGAGATGTCAAGAAGATTCTTCAGGAAGATTATGAAGACTGGAAACTCCATAGCGGAGAAATCAAGGTAGATCTTTTCTATGGAGAGGCTCTCTGAACAGTACTTAAATAGCAAGTTCCAAGTACAGAAAATGATAATTGTTTCAAAGCTGGACTAGTTTGCTGCRGGTTACACTGTTGCTGGCACGAAGGATAAAGACAACAATCCTTATTGCTTGCAAACCTCAGATAGCGTTGAGCATTTAGTCAATGCCTAGAGCAAACCAGCTCCAGAGTTTTGTGAGGCAGATGACTGACAGTTGTTAACCTGCTTGTTATGTGCCATCTTTTTATGAAAGCTGTTGAACCTAAAAACGTTGTCTATCTCTGCTGTTTTAAGGAGAATAAATTCCATTTGATTGCTGTGCCCCTATAACTCTTCTGTGTTGGCTGGGATTTTCTTATCCTTTAATAATAAACTTTCAGGGACAAGTTTGGAGACCTGAAGTGGGTAAAAGGCAATATGAAATCGTTCTCATCAACTACTGAAACACGTTTGCCTCTGAAAGCATTGCACAAGCAGCTGTGAAAAGCACAATTACAGTGTTGGCCTTGGGATGGGAAAAGCTTTCTGTAACTGTTGATAAACTCACACAGAGATGATCTAACTAGATGGTTTTAGTAATTGAAATGTTTTTAGATGTAGTAAGAGGGCTCCCTTCCTAATTATTTCATTAGCTCTGATGCCAATTATTTTTCAGTATTGATATATTATTCATCTATTTTGATTTTTCTATTCATTATTCTGTTTATCACGCTGTAATTGTTCTGCTTCATATTTGTCATTTAAAGTAAGAGAAATTCTCAAGTTACTGGTTGCTGAATTAATTCTTGATCTTCTTCCTATGTCCTAGTCGCTGCAGGAGAAACTAAGGCARGAGCAGCGGCTATCGAACATGTACCGGGAGCAGTGTGTCAGCCTAGAAGGTGAGCTGGCAAGGATTCGTGAGGAGGGAGATGTTGGCAGAGAGCTCTTTAAGGTAATTATCCTGTAATCCTCTACTGTTAGCTATTTTTGCATCCCTGGATTGATCATTCGAACCCCTTCTCCATGCTTTGTGTTGTAAGTGTACATCTTCCTCTATTTCTCTAAACCACACTGCGTTCTCCTATCTGTAGGAGCGCTCAGAAAAGATGGGAAAGCGCCTGCAGCTGATGACTCAGCGATACGAAGCCTTGGAAAAACGCCGAAATATGGAAGTGGAAGGCTTCAAGAATGACATCAAGCAGCTTCGGCAGAAGCTGAAAGATGTGGAGAAGCAGCTTTTCAAGGTAATGACTTATTGCTAAGACACACTGAKGTGGATTTGCTGTATAGAGGTGTATTCTCAGTATTTAAATTGAATATTTGCCTAGAGTCCAAGTTGTTAGAGGATTAGCTTTTCTTTTGTATGTATTCCTTTAGATATTTGATAAAACTTGACTCTTTTATGTATATTTATGAAGTACAAAAGACTTGCTATTATTAATCATGGACCAAATTTGGTCCAGGAATAGTTCTGATCGTATAGTAACTGTTTTCTTTTGGCAATGCCGTTGAAACTTCTGTTTCTGGCACAGTTATTACCTTAGAATAAAGCATTTTTCTCACTAAAGGCTTGAAGTTTAGGGGCTAAACGTGGTGTAATGTGGGCAAGGAGAACTACGTACAATATTTCTACCATAGACCTGTATGATATGAAGGAACTTCAAGCTCTAAAGAATTTTTTTTCTATTCCTGTTGAACTAAAGCTCTGTRCAAAAATAAATGTGTGTGGGTGAACTGAGAATCACTGTGTCTGGATGATCAAGTTACTCAGATTAGAGATGGGCAAAATTGCAGTAATGTAGTGTGCAAAAGTGCTATTTAATACGGCAAAAGTTTTGTTATTTTTTAATTTCTTTCCACACTTAACCACGAGAGGGCAGAGGAATAATGTAATTGTTAGGAATCTCCATCATGATCTTTTAAATCCATCTCATTTAAGGTCAGAATGACTATACATGACTAAATTCCCTGATGTGCATATTAAAATCTGACAACTACATGACAGTGAGGTAGTCAAGTTTGGGGGGGGAAATAAAGGGCTTTAGGAGCAGCTTCTAAGGCTCTTCCCTATCGCATATGGGGCAATCCTGTTCCTCAGTGACATGAAGTACTACCCTACCCTGCTAGCTCAGCATCAGGAATGCTGTTTATCTGGTAGCCTCCTCCCCAGCACAGCATTACTGCTGACTCTGTGGTGTGGCCTGAAACAAGGGGTTGTACTTGAAGAGCTTTCGGATTGCATGCAGTTCAAGAGGCAACAAGTTGGCCACAGCAGTTAAACGGGACATGCTCTTGATGGTCAAAAACAAAA